TTTCACTCCAATTTTTATTATTTCCTCCTTTTACTGATTTTCTGTTTCTTCATTTCCTAATTCCTTCAGGTAAAAGTAGATTAGATTATTAAGATTTTTCTTTTTTAATATGGGTCTGTATTGCTATGTATTTCCCATAGGATTTGGTAGTTTGTCTCTTCTTTTTTATTAGTCTCCAAATAATTTTTTATTTATCTTTTGATTTCTTAATTTACTCAGGAGTTATTCAAAGGCATTTTGGTTAGTCTCCACATGTTTGAATTTATTCCAAGTTTCCTTCTGTGGTTAATTTTAGCTTTATTATCATTATGATCAGAGAAGACACAATGTAATTTCTACATTCATATGTATTTTTGAGACATGTGTATCAAAATATGGATTATCCTTGAGGATGCTCTATGTGCACTTGAAAGTGTGTATTTATTTCTTTTGGGAAGGAAGGCTCTGTAATATCGATTAAGTCCATCTGGTCCAAGACTTTATTCCTTGTTTACTTTCTGTCTGGATGATAAATCTTTTTGTGTAAGGTATATATTGAAATCCCCAATTATTACTGTCTTCTATTAATACATTGTTTTAGGTCTCTTGACAGTTGCTTTACATTCTAAGTCCCAAGTTCCTTGGCTTTTGCCTCACTTGACAGAACATGGTGCCTCCTACGTCACATACATAAGGAGCCTTGCAGATGAGTTCCTCACTTCTCATACTTCTATCAAACCTGAAACCATAACCATGGTCATCTGCCAGTCCCCTCCTTCCTGGTTACATCAGGAACTCTCTCTCCTTCCAGAAGAAGCCAACCCAACACCTATGCTTCAGCATCCTTCCCCAATAAACTGTATGTGATGGCCATTCTTTTGTTCTCTTATATAAGAGTGTCAGCTTCACTCAGCTGGAGCCTTCCCTTCAACCTTCAAACATGCAGATGTGTCTCTTACCTAAAATATAAAAGGCAACCCTCCCCCCCGCCATGCCTGCACACTCTGTGTGTCACCTCATTACTCTTTCATGGGCAAACATCTCGACAGTGGTGTCCATAATCATCTTCATTCCCTTTCTTACCTTAGCTTTACATTTCATTTTACTCTGCCTCCATTTTCATTACTTACTACTATGGTGCTTGTCAATGTCATCAAAGACCTTCAGAGTGCTAAGTCCAAAGGACACTTGCACACATCATCCAAATGCTGCTGGACACAATACTCTCCTTGTTTCCTCTAACTTCTTGATCCCTTGGTTTAGTATTCTTTTCAGACTCAACCTCTTCAAAATGATCCTTTAGAAAAGCTCAAAAGACACAATACAGGAAAGTCTTCCCTAATGCTCTGAAATCATTACCCATTATACATTCTTAGAGAATATGACTGGATCCCCCCAGGCAAGAGATTGATCAGTCACAATTTATAATTATATGTGCAGGATTGAAATCCTGTGAATTCAGAGTAGTTACCTGAGAACTCCTCATTATACCAAATGCTCCATGAAGAAAAGGACTAGGGTCTATTTGTTCTCATAGTGTGCCTGGCATCCCATAGGCACTAAAGTACCTGTTCAAAGGGTCAGTAAAAAAGGCTCTGCTTCATAGGGTGATGGCATTTAATTATCAAATAACAATCAGATTGTCTCCTACAGGAGCCTGAATAAGGAAGTACAGACCAAAGCAGTCCATTTTAAGTGTGAGGGAGCACTAGGGGACATAAAGAGTCCTGTAGGCTGAGAAAGTAACTGTGTGGCGATGATCCAAATCTCAGAGACCCCTGGTCAGGGAAGACAGTGGCCCTAGATTCCTAAGAAAGTCCTCCTGGGTTCTGGGAGATTTGGGCTTCTGTTACTACCATGTGTTCCTTGAAAACAAACCCCATTACTTTGAGGTAGCTCGAGTAGCATCACTTTCTTATAGTTAATTGTCTAAATAATCCAGGAACTCCTCAGGGAGAAAAATCACTGAAGAAGCAGTTCTTTGTGGATGAGTTGGAAAGCCCAAAGTAGAAGAAATGAAAACACAAGGCGCCTTACATAATTTCCTCCCAAAGACTTCAAGCTCTCTTTTGAAGAGATTAGTTTTATTCTGGACTTATTCCCAAGAACTGTGCCAAAGGCAGCAAACTTCGCTTTACAGAGATAAGGATTAAGGCTCACCAAAGATCATCAGACTGCTGTTTCATGATTAAAAAGGTTATTAGCTATGAACACTGTATTTCTGACTTTGAAAGATAATTTATCCTTTGCTTTCTACAAAGTTTCATAGGTTAAAAAATATATCTATACATATAAATTGAACTAGCTAATTTCTTTTTCTCATTGTGGCTTAATTAGTGCTTTAAAAATTAAAATCAAACATGAAATCTACATTTAAAGACTAATTGCTAATGTCCAAGCCTAGCCAGAACCCTGCAGGCAAAAATTTCCATTCTTCAAACTTATATCTATATTACATTAAATTCAAATCCAATAAATTAAGGAGAAAAGAAACCCTATTACTTTCTATCTTCAAATTAGGTAATACCAATTTCTTTACCAAATCTTTCTATGGTAGTTTAGAAGAAGAAGTACATAATTAAATGAAGGCTGATCCAGCTCACAGGCAAGATCAGGTCACTGGCCCACTTTAAATGGCAAAAGGACATGTGCTTTTATGGGCTGTATAGCATAAAAAGTCTCCTTTAATATCTCCTCTGTTATATACTTTTCCATTAAATAATGAACATTAAAGAAAAAATGCAAGAAAAAGTCAACATATAGTAGATTACACCAGCCAAAAAAGGACAAATTAGATAGGCTGGCTTTTCTCAGGGAGACAGTAAAGTATGGTAGAGAGAGCACAGTATATGAAGTTAGACCACCTTAATATCTAATACTGTCTCTGTTATTTACCTGCCAACAGTGGAAAATTATAAACTGCTCTGGACCTATTATCTTCATTGACAAATGTGGTTGATGATTGGATTATAGAGCAAATTAAGTACAACAAATAGTTACTCAATAATGACTAATACATGTATTGATTTATTTGGTGAAGCTTGCATATTTTAAAAAGGGGGTCAATATACATTTTTATAACAGAAAGTCTTCAATTTTCTTTCTATCACTTCAAAAGAAGAATAGATAGTAGTTCATTTTGGTAAAGGATATAGTTACATGGACTGCAACATCCCATGACATTCTTAGAAAGAGAAGTATTATGTGACCTTATAAAATAATGCAGTAATTCTTAGCTAATTCAGAGAGGGCTTCAGTCACAGAAAGAAGCAAGAAGACATCCCTTGTGCTGAACATTGTATAAAAACAAGCTCTAATATAAACATCTAGATTGCCAATGTTCCCCAGAAAATCATGAGCAACCTATATATGAGATAAGGAGCCCTCCTCAGTCCTCCCTGCTAACCTCCCTGGTTCCTGTGTATGTAATGCACTGCCCACTAAAGTTCTGCTGGGCAAAGACAAGCTCGCTCTGAGCACGCCTGTGGGAGTCCACTAGCCAATGCCTTTCCTGTCCCACCACCTGTGGGTTTTCATTGGCCAAATTTGTGTTCAGGATTAAGAAGAGTGAACACTCATTCTTTCTAGTTCAGAATCAGTGCAGGTGATAATTTGTAACAAGTACTATTTATATCCAAGGGGAACAAAATGAACTAATGTTACTATATAGAGGAAAAGGCACAATTTTCTCATTTACAGTTTTATTCTAGACACACACACTGGGTTTTCTCTTATTTGTTAAATGAAAAAAAATAAAGGAATGAATGAAATGAAGTACCATTCCATTGAGGATACATTAAATAGGGCAGGTGATCATGGAAAGGAATGGCTCTAGAAAGGCAAAGAAGCCAAATGACAGGGTGTGGGAAGTAAGAGGGAAAACACAGGAATTCATGGGCCCATGGCACAAAGACATTAAACACTAGGATTTGGACCACCTAGGTAACTGGCTCTGCCTGCATTATATATCCAGAGTGAAGGGTAAGAATTTAGATGGAACACAGCAGCAAAATGTCTATATTTCACTTTAGATTCAATTCAACAGACACAGTGTGCTGACTGAGGCACACAACAAAAGGGCTTTATGTTCTGCTAGAAGCTTGATAAAAGAGTGCACACTATAAGCCCCACAGTAGAGAGAGATTTTGCTCCATTTGCCAACTGAAGAGGGTTTTTAAAAAAAGGCCAAGAGCCCTTCGGCTGTGTTTGTATGGCGCTCACTCACAGTGTGGTTCATAAGGAGGAGGAGGGTCTCCACACGGCACACACTCCATGTCTTGAAAGCCAACAAGTTTTGTCTTCCTGTAAAATCTAGAAGAGAAAGGAAAATAATCCTTTCATCTAAGATCACAGTTACAGCAAACAGATCTAGTTCATAAATTATTGGCATTCTCCATTATCAGTTCTATTACTTAAAGAAAGGTTCTCATAGGCTAAATATAATATTATATCACACTGCAGTGTTAGTTATCACATTATGTTTTGAATGAACATTAAATGTTAACTAGAAACACTAAGTGGAAAGGAGTTTGGGGGGTACAACTGGCAGGTTCCTGAGTCAGTGCTCACAAGGAGAGGATGTGATGTGGGGGCAGGACTCTGACAGGGCTATCAATAGCTGGACAGATTATACAACAGCTTCCAAAACCCAGTCTGTCAGTGTCTTTATTTCAATAGCTTAATGGTAGATTCTACAGTCTATTTTTTAAACTGCTACAACATTTTCAAAACCATCAACCCACTCACATTTTCCACCTAGTACAAAATGAGGTTAAGGTTAGAATCTGAAAGTACAGAGTAATTACTAAATAATAATAATCAATAATTTACTTATCATCAGACCCATTTTTTTAATTTATAAAAAGTTCCCTCAAAATTATCTCGTTTGGAGATGAAGATAAAAGAATTGTCATTTAGGGTATAATTTAATAGATTAAATGGATAATAAGTTCATAAATCTAAAATTATTCTACTTTCTCTTTATTTACTATGTTTAACCTGCCATGGTTTTGGGAAATAGAAACAATTTTAATTCTGCCTATTGACCAAGTGAGACAAGGTACAAATTTTCAAAAGTAAAGTAAGGTAACCGGTAACAGAGATATATACAAGGTGTCTGATAAAACTGGTTTTATGGTTGAACTTTAAATTTTACTCTGGGCTTTCAGGTAGCTAATGCAAAACGACAAAATGAAACCACATGGAATTTTTACTTATTGTTTTGATGAGAGGCAACATATAAATACATTTTATAGACCCAAATTTCCCACCAATACTGCATTTGAAAAGGAACTTTCGGTTAAACTGAATTCAAAGAACAATAGTTAGCCTAATGAGCTCCTTGTTTGAAAATTATTTTAAGAAATAATCTGTTGACTATAATCTGTTCAATCAATGCAAGCAAGTCTGCAAGTAGATGACACAGCAAAATTCTAGCTCTGGCTTTATAATGATCATGCTTAATGCAATTTTGAATGCAGTTCCCATGGCCCATGTATGACAATCAAGTCTTGATCAAATTTTCCATGGTGCTCGTGTTAGTTACCAGATGACAACTCCGCTCAATCCTATACTCTTGTTAGCACCCAGTTCCATACTGGTTGGTCAACCTGCTGGTCATGTTTCTCAACAGTCCACAGCAATGGCCCCTTGCTGAAACTGAACAAATGCCAATGTGAGGATGAATATTTAGGGTGAGACCCAGAGCTCATGAACACTGTAGTGGTTAATAGGGTACCATCTGGGAATAGGCAAGGGAAGTGAGCTTGAAGATGGGGACATGGGGAAAAGTGAGGGTGAAAAGGGAGTAGGGCACAGAATAGTCAGCTGTAGTTCTCATGATTAATCATAATGGAGGGCCAGGGGACACCTCCCTGCAAAATTAGCTGCCTAGTTAATTACAGGACCTCAGCAATAGAATCTCAGGTCTTTGGACATACAAACTGGGTGACCCTGGGCAAATCATTTATTGGAGCAAATTTCCTCCTTTGTGAAGGAGGAATAGATTAATCCCTACTTTGTAAAGTGGGTTTTGATGATTAGAAAAGCTAATCTGCATATAGTACTCAGCATATAGCAAGTGCTTAAAAAATGTTAGCTATCATATTACTAGAAGCAGCAAAGAACTGAAAGGGGCCAGTTTATTCTTTCAGGTGGATCCCAGGTTCCCTTAATAGAGAGGGGACAGGGTCATGGGAGCAGAAAGAATAGGCTGCGATTCATTGGCCACACTTGGAAAAAAGGTATGCAAAGATTTTGCTGGCTGCAAATAACATTAATTGGCAACAATGTCTTTTTTAGTGCACCAGGGACTAAGCACTCTGCTAGGCATTTATATGCATTAAATTCTTCATCATTCCAACAATTCTGCAGGTTGGTATTATTATTAGATACTGTTTCTATTGGTGAGAAGAATGGCTGTCAGAGAAATTAAGCAACTGGCCTAAAATCAGTTCACTTTCAGAAACAAGCAGCCTGGGTCTCTTTAACCACTTAAATTGTGGGCACAGAGGACTGACTATTTCCCCACATACCTGCACTGGGAAAAAAGCAACTGGAGCGCTGCTGAGGCTGAACCTACGGGCAGCAAAAGACCTTATTTGAAGAGGTTGAAGCTGCAGAGGGTAGCAATGGTAGCAGAAATAGAATTGCTGACCATAAGCCTGATTTTCATGTTACTTTTCTAGAATATTCAATTTGCCTATTATTTCCCTTTTGCCTCAATATCCCTATCTGTGAAATGGCTTTCAACTACTTGTATCTTCACGTAAATATAATCTAGTTGAATGAGTACTTGTAGGGCACTATGGAAGATTTAGCTACAAGTCACTGTATAATTATTGCCTGCCTCGTACATTCATGCTTACTTTAAAAAGATGTAATTTTAAACTAATCATATAAATAAACTATGAAGCATCTATTCATTTATAGCTTTCCTGCATCACAGCATTTATTTAAAGAATGAGCAAACATTGTAGAAACTAAAGTACTGAGCTCAGATGACAATGAATGGGGTTAAGCAAAAGGAAACATGCTTAGGGGGAGGTGCTGGGAAGGATGTCTTCTCTGTCACCCAATAGCACTCCCCGTGGGCTCCCTCTGTAAATCTAAATCCTCGGGCCCTGCACCCTTCCTCACACTTACTGGGCACTGCCCACCTTATGCCCATATTTCCTATGGACCTTCTCTTCTCCCTGTCCCCCAGAAGAAAGCAGATGTGTACAAACATGATTTTATCAGAATAGCAACAATTGAGCTATGTTACATGTTCCGTTCCTATTCCTTAATTAGATTTGCACAAGGTCAAAACTCTGGATCATTATATTTGTAGGTATCACATAGTCTGAAATTATAGTTTGCTTTTTTCAATAATCGATACTGAGAATTCACATTTTACACAATCCACCCATTTAAAGTGTACAATTAGATGGTCTTTAGTATTTTCAAAGGTGCATAACCATCAGCAAAATCAATTTTAGAACAGATTCATCATGCCAAAAAAGAAACTGTACTTTTTTGCTCTGTACCTCCTCCTCACACACACCATTCTTTGTAAACCTCCCAAACCTCCAGCCTTAGGCAACCAATAATTTAGTTTCTATCTCTACCGATTTGCCTATTCTGGACACATCATACAAATGGAATCACACAATATGTGGTCATTTGTGGTTGGCTTCTTTCAATTCGAATAGTACTTTCTAGGTTCATCCATGCTGTAGCATGTGTCAGTATTTCATTCATTTTTATTGCCAAATAATACTCCATTGTTCAAATATATTCCAATTTGTTCATTCATTCATCAGTGATAGAAATCTGACTATTACATATAATGCTGCTATGAATATTTGTGTACTAACTTTTGTGTGCACATGTTTTCAATTCTCTTGACTATCTACCTAAGAACAGAGTTGCTGGGTTGCATGGAACTCTATATATAGCTTTTTGACGAAGGAAGCTGTGAGGCCTAAAGATTTATTTACGTTTCTGGCCTCAGCGCGAACTCCAGAACTATCACTGAGCCACTAGGTCAAAATCATCCTGATCTTGTGGGCATGTTCTGGTGAGTCCTCCCAGAGTTCTCTGCAGTTGCCTGGAGTGTGGGTTCTGGTGTCACACTCCTGGAAGTTGCTCCAGCATCACACTTATGGGCTAAAAGATTTTGTCTGAAATACCTTAAACCTGGGCAAATCTCACTTTCTACATTTTTAAAACACTGTGAACATTACAGAAATATAAACTGCTTAGCCACCTGCATGTTTGCTGTTCCTGAAATGTGTTTCACCTTTGCTATAAGGTCTGGTTTTCAGAGCTCCGGAATTCTGGTCTGTCTCTCCCTCTGTCTTTGGTTGGCTAACACTAGCTCCACTCCACACCCACTAAATCATTAGCTATTCTGTCTCTCCTTCTTACCCTGTGTAGTCAGGCCTCTTCATTCCCTAGCAGATGATCACCCATGCTCCTCTGATCCAGCTCTCCACACCAGCTGTCCTCCTACTGACTGTTTGGTCTGACTTATCTGTCCGATGGTTACCTAGAAGCACTAAAAACTTAAAAATTCCTCCTCTGTGCTTTGTTTCTCCACCTGGCCCAGTATGGTCTCTTTTTCCCCATGGTCTGGGGATTTGCACACTGAAGATTTGCAGCACTCACACCTGCCCTACCCACTCCTACCCCCTCAGCCCTCACTTTCTTCTCTGCTCCCCCTTTCCTCTTTGCAGTTTCTTAAAAATATCAAGTTCAAGGCAGACTTTATGGCCTGTCTCTTGTGATTCCCTGTGCCTAAATGCTCTTCCCTCACATAGGAGCTCAGTTATCACCTCCCTGACTTCAACCTTTTGTTCAGCTCTGATTTGACCAATGATGCCTGCATTGATTGCCCACTTTAACATGCACCTTGCCTACCCGTCACTGGGGCCACAACTAATCCCACCAAAAAGAAAGGTCTAGCTTTCTTTTTCTGCAATAATCATCATCCTCCATCTTTCTGCATAATTTACTTCTTTATTATTTACTGTTGAGATATTTTTAAAAACCTCATTAAGATAGAGGCTCCCATGGGTAGGGATTTTTGCCTCTGGACCTAACCAGTGCCTCACAGCTGCTCCTAGAATTTCCGCTGAAATAACTGAATGGTTGTGATTTGCATTTTCTCTGATCACCAAGGAGGATAAACATCTTCATTTGAACACAGAATATACCTGTTTGCTCTTCTGTGAATAGCCTGTTCATTCTCTTGTCATTTGTGCATGCTTTGTTTTTTTATTGATGTGGAGGAACTCTTTGGATTTTCATGACACCCATTCTTTGTTAGCATGCGTTTTCATTTTATTTACAACCAAAATCTATCATGGTGCATTAGCACGTAGAAGGCCCAAAGAACTAGTGGTGAATATTGAGACAAAAGGTCATGAGCGCTAAATGTGTTCAGGTTAATATCCAAGTGCATTCACTATTTGGAAGGGAGTAAGAGAAATGCCAATTTCACAATAAATAATTATGAGGGAAAGAAATGGTACAACATACCCTGGCAAGCAGTCCCCACAGACGGCATCACTGGTGACAGAACAGTTAGCCTTCTGGAAGCGGCTCACCAGCGCACAGTCCAGGCATGGCTTGCACTTCTGGAAGCCCCAGTCCTCCTTGAACCTGTGAGGCCGGCATGTCACACACTGGGCATCCTCCCCGTAGCCAAAGCCACATTCCTGCAGGGATTAGCAAGCAATAGAAAGCTATTCAGACATTGCAAGCGTGAAAAAGGAAAGACAGCTGGGATAAAATGAAGACCTGGTCTAATAATTACTGAGTGCCAGTCTTCTAGCTACAAAGGCAGCCCTTTCAGCAAGTTCAAATGTGTCTCCCACTGCTAATAATCTCTCTTACTGTGAGAAGTATACTTAGTCATCCACTTTATTCAAGAAGCCATGAGCATTTGAATAATAAAGGTTCGTCAGCACCCCACTGCTGCATTATTGCCAGCTTATGGCAGAATTACGGCACTTTCTTCTTTTCTAATTAAGCCAGTCATGTAGTGTTCAAAAACTAAAGTCAGGGAGATATTCAGACACTGATTCACTTATCAAGATAGAAAATATGCACTTTGATATCAACAGTGATGTTTTAGAAAATAAGGACAAATGCATAAGAAATTTCATATATTTACAAGCCTGGAAATCTATCTAGTAGAGAGTATCTTGGAATGTTTAGAAGCTTAATTGTATATAATAGTAGGAAGATTCTCATATGTTTCTTAAAAAAACACTACATTCTGGTTCAGATAAAACTGCGTACTACTAAAGGTCTCAAGCTTCTCCAGCTGAGGACATTAGAACACACGACTGTTTTCCGAGGATGGACAGAACAGATGGCTCTTTGGCCACCATATGATCTAATAAATCACAGCAATTGTATAATAATACAACAATTGTAATCATAATACAACCATAAAAAGAATGATGCAGATATGGCTCATAGGAGATTTTAAAAATAAGTTGTGATTCAGAAGTAGATGATCTCTACTGGGTAGATATCCAGATTCATAGTATGAACCCATTTCTTACAAAAATATAACTAATAAACATTAGCATTGGCTGGGTGCTTAATCTATGTCAGGGACTTTATACGTAGTGTCTTGTTACTTCATAATCCTTCCCAAAAAGAAACGTGCTACCATTATTCCTATTCATGGATGGAACCATGCCCAAAAGGCACCTTAACCAAGGTGATGAGCTAATGTTAGGACCAGGATTTGAACCTTCACTATTTAATTCCAGCATCAGACTTCATGTAACTACACTATGGAGCCTGTCAGGACGTGTCCCTAATATACACAGAGGAGGATGTGGGAAGGAATACATAGCAAATGTTAACACTGCTTATCTGTGCTTTCTGATGGCTTCTATAGAATGCTGGTCATTTAAAAAAATAGACGTCAGTTCACAAGCTGAAAGAGCATCTATCCAGAGAGCATGCGGAGCTCACACACACAGCTCACTGTAGCAAAGGGTAGAAGACATTCAAACATTTTAGAGCCCCTGTTTCCTTCTCTGTAAACTACAGATGCCATAATGCAATTCCAAATACTTGAAAATCCCTCGTTTTTTTCACAAAATTTAAAATATTTAAGCTTCTCTTTTCATATTTCTATACAAAGTCAAATAAATAGTACCAATTTGGTCAAAAATGAAATCAAATCCCATACAAAGGAAAGTATTCCCTGTACTCAATGAACTACTCAGTAAAGGATACTGAGTAATAACACATCAATTTAGATTTTTTTCACTAATGAAGTCACTCACATTTTGGATGAATGATACCTTCCTTCCTCCTTTCAGCTACTCTGCCTGTCTTTGAAAAGGACATCTTGAATATGAACAACAGAGAGTAGAGGAGAAACAAAGGAGGAAGGTCAACAACCTTAATCCTCAGCACTCCAGCTAGACAATGTTCTAAGCCAAAAGCACAAACAGGAGGAAAGGGGGAGAGGGGAACCATTTGACTTGAAGAATTAATTCACACATTAGAATTTCTTTAAAATTGTTAACATGGATTATCTTTGGGGGATGGTATTAATGGAATTATGAGGTATCTTTAATTTTCTAATTCTGCAATAATTTAAATTTTGCAAAGAGCATCTATTACTCTGGTAATGAGAACAATAAAGACATTCAAAAATAATTTCTTGGGACATGCATTAGGTCTTTGTGAAGACATCACTGTGATTTTGTGTGTGTGTGTGTGTGTGCGCGCGCGCGTGTGCACGTGCGCACGCGCGTGCTTTGTACTGGGTTAGTACGGCTCCGCACTGGGGTAGAAATGTGTTCTTCCTGGTACTTTAGTTGCTAAGAGAATTACATGTATGCAAAGACATTCTTTAAAAGTACAGAAGGCAACCTCCCACTCATTTTCCCAGGATCAAAGCCTGGTGCACGAGACATTTGGGGGTGGGGGCCTCCTTGTTTACAGGTTCAGCATCTCCAGGCAAAGGGTCTTGCAAGAGCAATGTTTCAAAATCATGCTTTGATCCAGGCAGCTTGGATTATGAGTCTCACATACAAGTTAATACACAACAAAGGACAAAAAAAAGAGAGTAGAAAAAGGGGAAATAAACAGAGAGAGGCGAAAGAGAAAAAGTATTAATTCTGAGAAAACACCTAAAGTTTAGTTTTTCATACCAGGTTGGTATTGCGGTAAAAATGTGTGATTCCCACATTGGTGCCAGAAGTACATGAGTTTAAATGCCAACTCTGCCACTCTTTGGTGAAGTGACTGAGGGAACTCTCTGACCCAAAGTCTCTTCATCTGTGAGATGGGGTGATACATGCTCTACAGAGTTGTTTTGAAAAATAAGTGGGGAAAATAGCATATAAAGTCTCTAAACTGCAAATAAAACAGAAAGTAAGCAACTGCCCACTAAATGATACCTGTGGCTATTATTATTTTGTATTCTCTTCAACTCAATATACCACCTTTCCTGATTCAAGCATATTAAAGCCACATGGAGAACAAGAGAATCTTGAGACCCCAAACTTTCCCAGATTAATGAAATATTACTTTCCATCTAAAATATTTTTATTCAGTAAAAATCTTTCTAAAATGGGATCACAATGACATGCCTTTTAAAAATGGGAACAAAACCTTTAATGATGAACTTATACCTGTCCTCAAACTTTTGCCAAAGGTTAAAGAAGGAATGCTTCCAAACATACTTTGTGAGGCCGGCATTACCCAATACAAAGAGCAGACAAGAACATCACAAAAGAAAACTACAAATCACTATCCCAATAAACATAAATTAAAAAACTCTTCAACAAAATCTTAGCAAAATCTCAACAAAACATTAATAGGATCATATATCACAATGACCCCAGTGAGATTTTTCCCAGAAGTGCAGGGATGTTTCAACAAATGCCAATCAATTAATGTAATACATGATGTCAACAAAATGAAAGCTAAATCATATGACCATATCAATAGATGCAGAGAAATCATTTAACAAGTTTCAAAATCCATTTATGATAAGAACTCTCAAAAAATGGAGATAGAAGGAACATACCTTAACATAATAAAGGCCATATGTGACAAACCTACAGCTAACATTATATTCTATGGTGAAAAACTGAAAACTTTTCCTCTAAGATCAGACACCAGACAAGGCTCTGCTCTCTCATCACTACTATTAAACATAATATTGGAAGTCCTAGCTAGAGCAATTAGGCAAGAGAAAGATATAAAATAAATCCAAATTGGAAAAAATAGTATAACAATCACTATTTGCAGATAACAATATGCATTAAAAAAAAACCTCTAATGACACCATGAAAAACTGTTGGAAACAATTGGTACAGTAATGTAGGAGGCTACAAAATAAATATACAAAGTTGATTACACTTCTACATGAAAACAATGAACTAGAAGAGCAAGAAATCAAAAAACACCATTTACAATAACATAAAAAAAGAATGATGAAATAAAGGAGGTGAAAGATCTAGACCATGAAAATTATAAGACACTGTTAAAAGAAATACAAAACACGCAAAGAAATGGAAACATAATCCATGTTCATGGATCAGAAGAATTATTATTCTTAAATGACCGTCTTCCCCAAAGTAATACACAGATTCAGTGCAATTCCTATAGAAAAATTCTACAGTATTCTTCAAGGAAATAGAAAATTACTGAATCTGCATGAAACCACATAAAACCCTGAACAGACAAAACATTCCAACAAAAAGAACAGAGGCATTAAGTTCCCATATTTCAAATTATACTACAAAGCTATAGTAATCACAACATATGGTAAGGAAATAAAAATAAACATACAGTTCAATGAAATAAAATTGAGAACCCCAAAATAAACTCTTACGTATATGGTGAGTTAATATATTACAACGCTGCCAAGATTATACAATAGAGAAATAAAATCCCTTCAACAAATGGTGTTGGGAAAACTGGACAGCCACCTAGAAAAGATTAAAACTAGGCCATTATCTTATACTAGACACAGAAATTAATTAAAAATAAATTAAAGACTTGGACGTAATACCTGAAACCATAAAATACATAAAAGAAACATAGGCAAAATACTCCATGATATTTGCTTCAGAGATGACTTTGGGGACACTACAGTAGAAATGGAAACAAAAGTAAAAATAAACAATTGGGACTACATCAAACTAAAAAGCTTCTCAACAAAAAAGGAACTATTATTAAAACAAAAAACACTACCAAATGGGAGAAAATATTTGTACATCATACATCGGACAAGGAGCTAATATTGAAGATATACAAAGAACTCATACAACTCAACAGAGAGAAAACAAATATCCCAGTCAAAAAATGGACAGAAAGCTAAATAGTCACTTGCACATGAAAAAATGCTCACCACCACTTATAACTAGGGACATTTAAGTCAAAACCACAATGAGAATCCACCTCACACCAGTGATATTGGCCCATACCGAAAAGACCAAAAACAAGAGGTGTTGGTGAGAAAGTATACTATTGGTGGGAATTTAGATTGGTCTACTCCCAAAGCAAAACAGCATGGAAATTTCTCAAAATATTAAAAACCTACCTACCATATGATCCAGCAATTTCACTTCTATGAATCAGCTGAAGAATGCAAACTAATTCAAAGGGGTATATATGCCTCTTATGTTCATTGCAGGACTATCTACAGTAACCAAATTATAGAAACACCTGA